GTGTCTCTGAACGGTGTCTCTGCACCAAAACGGAGTCACCTGGTTTGAAAGGGTGGGGGTCAACATTAGTATGTTTAGCATATAGCTGACTTAGCCTGGGCCAAATATCTGCATGTACAGTTTGGAGGTTTTCCAGGAACTGTCTTAAATCTGGAGTAGAGGAATGCTCTGTCTTAAGAGCAGGAAGTATAGGTGGAGGAACTCCATACATTATTTCATAGGAGGAACAATGTAATTTATAGGGGGTATTGCGTACCCTAAATAAGGCTAAAGGAAGGAGTGTTACTCAGTTTTCGCCAGTCTCTAAAGCCATTTTTGATAAAACTTCCTTCAAAGTTCAGTTCATCCATTCTACCTGCCTGGAACTTTGAGGGCAGTAGGCACAGTGCAATTTCCAATCTGTCCCTAAAACTCGAGCTACCCCTTGGCTAACCTGAGAGACAAAGGCAGGTTCATTGTCTGACCCAATAGTCAAGGGGTATCCAAACCTTGGGCCTATGTCTACCAGCAGCTTCCCAACTACTTCATTTGCAGTCTCCCGTTTGGTAGGGAAAGTTTTTATCCATCTTGAGAAAGTATCTGTAAAAACTAATAGATACTTATACCCGTATTTTCCTGGTTTGATTTCTGTGAAATCTATCTCCCAGTGGGCTCCTGGTCTATGCCCTCTCTGCCCGTGGCCTGTGGTGTTATGTCTGGGCCTATATTAACCATGGGGCAGATTTTGCATTTGGCCCTAATTTCTTCTAAGGTTTTTCTTAAATGTCTAATATAGTATAGAGAGGTACGGAGTAGCTCCTCCATCTTCTGCACCCCCAGATGAGTCACCTGGTGCAGCTGGGAGAAGAGTTTAGTAGTTATTTCTTTAGATAACTAGATCTTATCTTCCACGAGCTACCATCCATCTGGTCTCATGGTCCTCTGGTGGCTTTTTGCCCATTTTTTTTCTTGGTTAGAATATTTGGGAGAGTCCTCCAAAATAGGCTGAACCTGTAGAGCTCGAGTAACCAGGACAGTATTATTACTTAAGTTAACAGTTCTCTTGGCCGCTTCTCTGGCTGTTAAGTCAGTCAACCTGTTTCCTTGTGCCACCTCATCAGTTCCTTTCTGCTGTCCTGGACAGTGCACTACTGTCAACTTTTGGGGGCACCACATGGACCTGAGGACCTGGATTTCCTGTTTATTTTTAATGTCTTTGTCCTCTGCCGTGAGGAGCCCTCTCTATATATATATGGCTCCGTGTACATGGACAGTAGCAAAGGCATACCTGCTATCAGTATAGATGGTAATTTCTCTTTTGTCTCCGAGCTCTAGGGCCTTTAGCTCCTTTAGGGCTATGAGTTCAGCTTTTTGGGCAGAAGTTCCAGCAAGGAGGGGCTCAGCCCACAGGACTGAAGTGGCAGTGGTAACAGCTACACTGGCCCGTCAAAGTCCATTGTCCATGTAGCTGTTACTATCAGTGAACCATACTTCTTCCGGTGGAGATGGGGTGGGGGGGATATCTTTTAGATCTTTCCAAGTTCCATGGACTTGTGCCAGGACCTCTACATAGTCATGTAAGGGGTGGTTCTCAACCTCAGGTAGGAGGGTAGCTGGGTTTAGGAGCGCAGGAGCCGTGAAGTCAATCCTGCCGGGGTTGAGCAGGAAAGTCTGATACCACAGAATATGGGCATTACTCAACCATTTATCTGGGGGCTGTTTGAGCAGTCCCTCAATGGCATGGGGGGCAGTAATTACTAGTGATTGCCCTAGTACCAGCTTATCTGCATCATATACAAGTTCTGCTACTGCCGCCATAATTCTGAGGCATGGGGGCCACCAGGCGGCCATAGTGTCTAACCGCTTAGACAAGTATGCGACTGGGCGGTTTCAGGGCCCCAGGGGCTGAGTAAGAACTCCCTTTGCTACTTCTTTCTTCTCATCTACGTATAAATGGAAAGCTTTGGAGGGCTTAGGCAGGGCTAGAGCTGGGGCTGAGAGCAATGTTTGTTTCCATTCTTTGAAGGCGCGGTCATGCTCCGACGCCCATGCAAACGTTGCCCCCATTTTGGTTAGTTCATATAGGGGTCAAGCCACCTCTGCAAACCCCGGAATCCACAGCCAGCAGTATCCTGCAGTTCCCAGGAATCCCCAAAATAGTCTGTGTTTGGGAGGGGGTTAGCCACCTTTGTCCTCCTTGCAGTTTATAACCTAAGTAGGTTACTTCTTGTTTGCAGACCTTGGGCTTTTTGGCTGATATGCGATACCCCAATTTCCCAAGGTTTCTAAATAACTCTCTGGTTGCCAGACGGCAGTCCTCTTCCGAGGCTGCTGCTAACAATAAGTCACCAACATATTGTAGTACAGTCACAGTCTCATGGGCCCGTTTAAACTCACTCAGATCCTCGTGTAGCGCCTCATCAAACAGGGTGGGTGAGTTTTTAAATCCCTGAGGCAATCTTGTCCAGGTTAGTTGACTGGTGATACCACTCTCTGGGTCCCTCCATTCAAAGGCAAACAATGGTTGACAAGCAGGAGTGAGAGATAGGCTGAAAAAGGCATTTTTTAAATCAAGTACAGAGTACCAAATTAAGGATGGTTTTAAGTTGCTTAGTAAAGTATAAGGGTTGGGGACCGTTGGATGGATATCTACCACTCTTTTGTTCACTTCCCTAAGATCCTGTACAGGTCTATAGTCCCCATTTGGTTTCTTTACTGGCAAAAGGGGTGTGTTCCAAGCTGATTGGCGTTTCTGGAGGATTCCTTGCTTTAAAAGGTGTTTAATATGAGGAGCTATGCCTCACCGAGCATCCTGATTCATAGGATATTGTTTTATGGCGATTGGGGTAGCTCCTGGTTTTAATTCAACATGGATGAGGGGGTGGTGTGTAGCTCACCCAGGCCCCCCGGTTTCTGCCCACTCATCAGGGAATTCCGTCATCCACTGTGTCACTAAGTGGTCCAAATCAATTCTATCTTTCTTTTCTAAGAGATGGTGCTCATCTTCTAGTGTCAAGGTTAGGACGTGTATAGGGTGTCCTGACTCTCCCAGAAGCTGTGCCCCTTCTTCTGTGAAGTGGATCTGGGCTTTCATTTTGCTTAAGAGATCACGTCCTAATAAAGGATAGGGACATTCAGGTATAACCATAAAAGAATGAGTCACTGTTCCATTTTCCAAGTTTACTTTCCGGTTGGTAGTCCAAGAGTATAGTTTAGTACGTGTAGCTCCCTGTACTAAGGTCTTTCTTTCTGACAGGGTGCCTGTAGCCTTTTTTAGTACTGAAAATTGGGCTCCTGTATCTACCAGGAAGTTGGTCAGCTTTCCCTCCACTTTTAAGATTATCTGGGGCTCGGGGAGGGAATTCGAGCCTTGACCTCTTCAATCACTGCCCTCTGTTGTGACCAGGACTTTGGACATTTGGCATTTCTGTCTCTTGGGGCATTCCAGAGCCCAATGTCCTGATTTTTTACAAAAAGCACATTGGTCATTCCTGAGAGTTGGTCTCCTTTTATTCCTTCCTTTCTTCTCCTCCCTGTCTTTTAAATAAGGTTGAAGATGTTTTTCCTTATCTTCGGGAGGGACGCTGGCTGCAAGAAGAATCTGGGCGAGGTCCCTGTTTCTGCGCCTTTCAACCTTCTTTTCCTTATCTTCTGGTGTTTCTCTATTGTTATATATTTTCTCTGTTGCCTCTACTAATTCTCTAAGGGTCTTCTCTCCCAATCTATCTATTTTTTATCATTTTCACCGGATGTCAGGGGCAGATTGATTAATGAATGCCATGGTGACAGTGGACCGATGATCAGGATCTTGGGGGTCAAAGGGGGTCCACTGTCGAAAGGCATTCATTAAAGTTTCTAGGAAAGCTGCCAGAGACTTGACATTACTTTGTTTAACATCATATACCTTACTAAAATTTGTGGGCTTGTGAGCTGCCGCTCAGAGACCAGCTAGCAGAGTCTGGCGATAAACTCGTAGACGCTCCCTACTTTCAGCCTCGTTGTAATCCTAGTTAGGGCAGCAGACTGGGAAGGCTTCATTGATGTCTGCCAACACCTGTGTGGGCACTCCTGTAGGGCCTAGGACATTTTGTCTGCTGACCTGGATGATTCTTTCTCTTTCTTCAGTAGTGAAAAGGACCTGTAAGAGCTGCTGGGAGTCATCCCAAGTTGGCATATGCGTGAATAAAATAGTTTCCAAAGGTTAGTTAAACATTTGGTGTTATCTGAAAAAGGGGGGTTCTGAGCTCTCCAGTTGTAAAAATCTGAAGTAGCAAACGGCCAATAATAGGACTGCCGATTGCCGTCTGTATCGGTAGGGCCATATACACGCAAGGGGAGAGCCACTGCCCTATCTTCATTTTGTGCCCCCCACCTACTACCTGTCCCCTGTGCCGAGGGAACATCCGTTGTTGAATCAGGGGCAACTTGTGGTCCCTGGGCTCTCTGTGCTTTCTGGTTCTGAGCGGGGAGCTGTGGGTATATTTTCATGGTAAGGGGAAGGGAAGGGATCTTCTCCCCCTCGAAGGATAGGATATAATTTTTTCTTAAGTTCGGTACCTTTTTTTTGGCTGCCAGTATCTCTGCTTTTATTAAGTATCATGCCACCCATGGGAGGGGATCAATGACTAAGGTCTCCCATACAATAATATATGGCACGTTGTCAGGGTGTCCTCCCTCTGGTTGGAAAATCTTGTTCTTCACTGCTTTTATTAAGGTTAAGTGAAAAGTCCCCTCCCGAGGCCACCCGACTCCAAAGGTGGGCCACTCATCAGTATAATATGTGTGTAGGTGGGCCTTTTTGATATCTACACACAAGTTATGGACCCTGGCCTTGATTTCCTTGAAATGCCCCAAGAGTAGTTCAATCGGGGAAGATGGTGTCTGTCCTCTTTTGTCTCTAAAGTGTAACAATAAACACGCTAAGCCAACATTACACAAAATACCTACAAAAAGTAAAAATTTTCCCTTCTGAGTTTCCAGGAAAAATTGGAACTGGGTTGATGGTGGGGCCCCATCTGGCGGTTGTAACTTGCTTCATCTCTCCACCAATGGGATTTCCTCTCTGGGCTCTAAGGAAATGGGTCGGTCTGCTCCCCAAATACCTATAAAGGGGATAGATCTAGATTAACCTCTTTTGGTGTAGGGGGCATACCGCATGTGCAAAGGTTTGGCCGCAATCCTTAAGAAGCTGATGAACAAGTGGCCAGAAAACTGGGTCAATAAGACTAAGGAAAGCCAAGTCCTGGAGCCGTCCCACAACTGTTTCCAGAGGGCCAGTGGTGCGTCTACACAGGTTAGGGGGTTTGCGCCCATATTGTTTGGGCTGCTTTCTTCCCTGGTGGGGATGGAGATCTAGCTCTGGTATAAAGGAAAATTTGGCTAGGTGATGAGGGACCCCTGTGTAGGCTGACAAAAGTTGTAGGATTGTATCCAGTCCCTCAAAGCCTGGTTCCACCACCTGGTCGTGATGGAAAAATAGATGAGCAAGACACTCTGCCGGGTTGGTGTTCTGCACCCACCACAGAGTTACTGAATAAAGGGAGCATGGGACACAGGACCAGCTAACAGTCCCAATGGGGTGTTCCATATGACAGCCCTCAGTGCTACACCTTTTGGATAAATGCCATGAGTATTCAGAATGATAAAGGGTTTCAGGTATACTAGAACACGTGGAGCAACAGTGGACCTTTGCTCGACAAAACAAACACTCTCCCTTTGGGTATGCAAACCTTATTATTCGCTGGGCTCTCTTTCCTACGGATCTTGCAACCTGCTTCCACGACTGGGCTAATGGAGTTTTTTTGTTAGGTCATGGAGAGAAAACATGAGATTTTGGGGGACTTGGGATAAGATCAAGGAAGATAGACAGCGTTAGAGTAAAAAGTAGAATAGGAAAGCGAAGACTGTGATTTCATCCAGGTTGAAATCAGAGAGAGTCCCCTGGAGGAATTGGTCTGTGATCCACTCAAAATAGTGTTTAGGGTTGAGGGACTGGGGTCTCGACCAGTCCTCACAGAGACATCAGACGAAACACTGAAACCTGCAGTTTGAACACAAATAAGGTAAGCAGACCCCGTATAGGTTTAGCTGGCAAGTTTTACACAGTGTTATATATATATATATGAGTGAAGGTATATATATATATATATATATGAGTGAAGGTATTGAAGAAGGAAGAGCAATAGACAGTCCTAAAATGCAAATAGAAACAAAAGAGAACTCACACTTAAACATGTTAGACAACACACTGTCCGGACTCGAACCCACGCTGGCTCTTACCAAGTAGGAGACAAACACACTGTCCAGGGGGACTCAAACCCACACTGGCCCTGATCAAGTAGGAGACAAGCACACTGTCCAGGGGGACTCGAACCCGCGCTGGCCCTAATCAAGTAGGAGGATCTTACCACACACTGTGCTTCCTTCCCAGAGCGTCTCGTCACCTCTCTCCAGACTGGTCCCTAGAAAACATATGTAGTAGGAGAAGATGTCTCCTCTCTCCCCTTTCATGGGTTGGGGCCACGGGGTCCACCTCCCCATTCAGCCGTGACCCACAAACACAGATACAGAAACAAACGACAGTAGACAGCTTGCAAGTGGACAAATCTCTCTGATCGGTGTCCTCCGATGTTGGGGGTCTCTCAGAGGGGCTAGAATCCCAGATGGTTCCCCAAAATGTTAACCCCCCAGACTCAATTTAAGCACCACTCTGAGAGTCCGAACATCACTGCAAAGGCACGAGGAGTTTTATTCATTCAAGCTCAAAGCCTGGGCTGCCCTTTAAGAAGAAGCGGGAACAGTCCTTACAGACTACCCAGAAAATCCCTTTATACCCCACCCTCTTCTCTCCCATTAGACCATCCCACCCCACCCCCTTATTGGTAGGAAAACCATGTCTGTCTTAAACTGACAGGTACAGGGTGGTCGTGTTCAGGGTTGATTGGCTCAGGGACAAGTCTTCTTTGTCTCAGGTGGGTGAATGAGAAGGAAGGGATAAAGGTCGCAAGTGGGTCGAGTGCAGAGTAGAGTGGCGAGTGCAAAAAGGGGAGAGGGTCAGGATGTGGGATATAAGACCTAGGTATGATAAGGTCTTTGGTATGCGGTGGCCTGTTGTTCTGAATAAACAACAAAAGGAGGTAGTTGGACTTGTGATCTAAGTTAATTAGTTTGCCTCCCACAAGCTACCCCTGGGGAAGGACATAACCTGTTAGGTATCATTAATGAGGAGACCCCCACAGGTGGAGACTATTCTCTGGAGAAGAATGTGCCCGTGAACTCCTGGCAGGGAACACAGCAGCAGGAGGATGGCTGCACCTGCCTGGTAAAGGAGATATATCTTTACCAACTGACCCCTTAGGTACCCTTTCCTTAACTTTATTTCTTTATTTAGATACCTTTTCCTTAACTTTATTTATTTATTTAGACAGACAGACAGTCTCACTCAGTTGCCCTGTGGTTGAGTGCCATGTCATAGCTCACAGCAACCTCAAACTCTCGGACTTAAGTGATTCTCTTGTCTCAGCTTCCCCAGTAGCTGGGACTACAGGCACCCACCAGAATGCCCAGCTATATCTTTTTAGAGATGGGGTCTTCCTCTTGCTCAGGCAGGTCTTGAAATCCTGAGCTCAAGCAATCCACTTGCGTTGGCCTCTCAGAGTACCTGGGTTACAGGCCTGAGCCACTACCCCCGCCCTTCCTTTCCTAAACTTCAGAAATACATTCTTATTACCCCAGTGTTCTACTACAGATGCTTACTGTATGTTGGTCTTTAGCTGGCTTTCCAGAGCAGTGCCCAGTGCTGGCACTAATCACATCATCTTCTCTCTTCTCATCACAATCAAAGAGCTAAGGAAATTTCACCCCAACATATGATTCCTTAGTATAAAGAATATTTTAAATTAAAAGGCCATTTTTGATCAGAAAGCACTGGCCTCTCTTCTATAAAACCTGAGTAACCTGATTTAGAATCAGAAAAAGCTGCCAGCCTCCTTCTCACATGCTTATCACATGCTTGGACCTGGCTTCAAGGTCATTTGAAACACGATACCTGTCTCTCGGGTTAATTGACAAATCATTCTGTTTCCCTCATCTACCCATCCCCCTAGCAACCATTACAGCACCTATACTTTCCACATTCTCCTCCCTCCCTTCCAAAAGCCATCTGTAAAGGTATCTGACTATCACTGAGACTTTGGGAAATCATTCTTGTGGCTTCTCTCCCCCTACGCCCACCATGCACATCGTTTTCAGAAATAAATCTTTCTCTTATCAAGCTCCCATAACTGTGAGTTGATCTTTTCTGGAACCAACCTAAAGGGAAAAGGCAAGTTTCACCATGAACCCTACAACAATTATCTCCTCTGGGATCCAACTGTGGATTTGCTACAAGGTAGGTTACAAAGACTTTTTTCTTTTTTCGATGGAGACATATACCTAGTAAGTAGCACAGGACCAAACTCCTGCAAAAACATGCATAGAGTAAGAGATAGTTTGCTTTTACTTTGCTTTTGACTTTTTTGGTCATCTTATGAAGGTGCTCAAAATCCCATTCATTCTTTGTAGTTAATACCATTATATCCTTGTATATAGGGATGCACATTAAGTTTATACAGGATGTTAATTTCAAACACTTGCCTCATGCTAGTGCTAGAGAGCTGACATTCTCAAACTCTGGGGCATTCCAGTGTCTCCTCAAAGTCTATATAAATAGGTAATGGACTATTATTCCTCAACACGAGCGCTCTCTTTTCCCTCATTGTTCCTATTTCTTAGCCTTAATACCACCATCTTCCTCTTCCCCTTACTCTTCCTCTAAATCCAACTCTACCTGGTTTCTGAATCAAAATTCTAATAAAGAATGAGCCCAGCTCTTCTGTGATTTGAATCTCTCTCTGGAAACTAACTGCAGCCCAGTCTGCTACTGTGAAGAGGAGGCAAAGGGCAGGCCTACAGATACAAGATGGGGCCAGCAGCAAGGATATCAGCCAATGCCATGAAAAAAATGTCATTTTTAGCCATTGCTAAAAATGACAATTCTATCCCTTGGAGTTCTTTTTTACTTCATCAAGAGTGAATCTCTGCCAGATAATATAACTTCACTATCCTGGAAAGGAGAAAGGATGAAGAGGACCAGCTGAGTCTGCTCTGCCTGGTAAGACTGAGTGATGAGGGATCGAAGGAGGGGGTCCATGTCAAGACCCTGCCTCACAAATGTGATATTACCCTGGATTCATCCACAAGCACAGTGTGTGTGGCTCTGGGCGAAATTTGGGGGTCCCTATACATTTGGGGGCTCATAAACATTTGATTTTAAAAGACATTACAAAATCTTTGGGCTCCAGTGAACGACAGTGATTTATCAATGAAGATTTAGAATAATGGGTAAAGAAAAGATACCCAGATATTTGGTTATTGTCCATGTTGTGCCCAGGAGTTCCCCAGAGACCACACTGCCAAACAAGCCAAATTCATCGAGTCCCTATGTTGAAAAGCCAGGCCAGCAACTGCCTCAGTGTTCCAACGTAGGGTCTTCTGAGAGAAGCCCCAAGTTGTCTGAATTCTGTTTTATTGGATTTTTTTGAGACAGAGCCTCAAGCTGTTGCCCTGGGTAGGATGCCATGGCATCACAGCTCACAGCAACTGAGATGGGTGCCAGCAGCCTCATGGGTGCCAGCTGCCTTATCACCCCCTTAAGATGGATGCCAGTGGCCTCATAACAGCTTCACACCACCCCCCCAGGTAGGAGGAAGGGAAAAAGAGGTAAATGAAATGATGCCAAGTATCATTACTCTTAAATCGGTCCAGATCAGGCCAGAACAGGACAAGATAAGAATGAATGGGCCAAGAACTGTCATCACGAGAGTTAACGAGCTCAGTACTGTGACAAATTGTTTTCCTTATCCATTAGTTGCTAGATCTGCATTATGTTACTTTATTGTATCTAACTGCCTTTTATGTTACCTATTGGCTAAACTGCTAAATTGCAAAGTTCACTTCTGTAAAACAGGTCATCTTGACCCTGTGCTCACTTTTTGCTTCTTTTGCCAACTTTCTTTTTGCTTCTAATTGCTAACTTTCACACCACCTGTTTGGCTTGTTGCCAACTTTTAAACTACAAAAACCCCAATTTCAGACCCCTTGATGTTCTGGCTATGACAGCCCTGTGGTTAATAAAAGACTCCTTTTGAAATTCTAATTTGAGTCAGTGGTCCTTAATCTTGCCCCATAACAAACCTCCAACTCCTGGAATCAACTCTCTCCACCCCCCTAGTAGCTGAAACTACAGGTGCACACCACAATGCCCAGCTATTTTTTGGTTGCAACCATCATTGTGTTTGGCAGGCCCAGGCTAGATTCGAACCTGCCAGCTCAGATGTACGTGCCTGGCGCCTTAGCAGCTTAAGCCACAGATGTGGAGCCAAGGTTCTGGTTTTTATAGGGTAAAATGTTTCTGGAGGCAAGCAAGCATTGTTACAGAAGGAAAAACAGCAGTTAAAGGGGTAGGGGAAATCATGAGGGTAGGTCGATCGGTCATTTTACACCATGCTATGATCACAAGCGCAAATAGTGATTTTTCTTCATTATAAAATAGGTACAAACAACAATGCCCTAGGGGGAAATGTAGGGAGAGGGACTTACAGGTAAGGGTCACAATGGGCATGATCATAAAATGTGATAATCACCAGGATTATAATCACAAGCCTGGCCAGTAACTTCCATCACTAACAATTTTAGTTAAATGCATTCACAGTTACACAATGGGAGGGCAAACAAGAAGAACCAGTTTTGAAGGTAATAGAATGTAATAGAAAAGGAGTAAACAGCAAAATGGAGTTAAGCCTATTCTTTTAACACTTGAGTATCATATACAGATGACTTAGGCCACCTTAACAGTTCAGTCAGTACACATGCAAATTCTTTGTATCGTCCAGCTACCAGCTCTTCTTATGAAGTCTAGAAACTATTTCTTCATGCTTTTTATTGTCACATGTGCCATTCTTGGATAACTTTATATATCCAACCACATACACATATATAAAAAAGAAAGCACAATGCTGGTCCTATGTTTATCCTAAGAATTAGTTCTATCCTCCATAGCACACCATATCATATTAGTTAATACTCAACATCTCTGTTAACAGTCTGTGAAACACCAATTCATAGAAAAACTGCCACAGGAGGGATAATGATATAGGCCCTAATATGCCTCGACCAGACCTGAGCCCAGGCTCCAACTCAGACTTATTAAATCCATGTCACTGGAAGGGGCCCTTGAAAGTTGCTTAATTTATTAAAAGTTTTAAAACTCCCTGAGGTAATTCTAATAAGCAGCTAATGTTGATAAAAAATTGCATGGAGTGCTCTGAAGATAATATTTGAGTGCCTTAAAAATAGAAAAATATACTCTGTGGTAGGGCACTGGCCACATGCACCGAGTCTGACAGGTTTGAACCTGGCCCAGGCCTGCTAAACAACAATAATGACTACAACAACAAAATAGCTGTGCATTGTGGCAGGCACCTGTAGTCCCAGCTACTTGGGAGGCTGAGGCAAGAGAATCACTTAAGCCCAAGAGTTTGAGGTTTCTGTGAGCTATAACCCCATGGTATTCTACCAAAAGCATCATTGATAAATAAAGGTATGAGTGAATAATATCAAAGAAATTTATAATACAGTTGCTTTCAAAAAATACTTATGGCCTAAGTAGGATTGTATATGGTATATTCAAAGCTTTTGGGGCCAATGCATTTTGGAACATAGACATTTTCAGATTTTAAAAAGCAATTGTGTTGGGTGGTACCTGTGGCTCAGTGAGTAGGGTGCTGACCCCATATACCAAGGGTGGTGGGTTCAAACCCAGCCCCAGCCAAACTACAACAAAAAACTAGCTGGCGTTTTGGCAGGCACCTGTAGTCCCAGCTACTCAGGAGGCTAAGGCAAGAGAATCAGCTAAGCCCCAGAGCTGGAGGTTACTGTGAGCTGTGACACTATGGCACCCTACCCAGGGCGACAAAGTGAGTCTCTGTCTCAAAAAAAAAAAAAAAAAAGGCAATTGTGTGTGTGTTTGTGTGTATCATATATTACTAAGACACTCCCAGAAGAGTGTATCTGGGCACTACTCATAATCAATCACCTTGATACTTCCACAATCAATGTCAAATGTATATGATCACATAGCACAAATGAAAAAAACAGTCTCACACTTTTAAGTTAGTCAAGGGTCATATCTAAGTGGAGTTTGGGGGCCACTTTGAAAAAAACTTTCAGTTTCCAGAGCTTTAGGGATTAGGGAACTATGGATAAGTGCCTGTGTGCCTGCCCTATGGACTAAAGAAAATATCTTGGGAGGGTACAGAAGGCATGCCATTGGAGGTAAAAGAACTGATGAAAGTTTTGTAAATGAAGCAGAATTTGGGCTGCACAGAGTTAACTATTTTGTCGGGGGGGGGGGTGTTAGGCACCCAGAAAGCCAGGCTAGCAGCCATGGAGTCTCTGTAATTGTTCTGTAAATTGCATCAGCCACTGGAGGTCTGTATATTGTTCTGTAAATTGCTTTCCTGTGGTGGTCTCCATTAACCTGACCACTGAGATTTGTCCAAAATGGAGACCAGAAAGAGGAAAGAGGTATACTCATTAAACAGTGTGGGGACCCTTATAGGATGAAAGGTCAGAGGAACCCTGTAAGAGAATGAAGCTGGTTCTGCAAATGAGAGAATGTAGGCTCCAAACCCTGACTAATTCCAATCTCTTTCTTTTATGCCACATGATGGGTGATGGGTCTCTTTCACATTTCATTCCCAATCCTAAGGCCTTGGTTTACCTACTAGAAAAATTCCTAACATGACTGATATCTACTCTTCTTTCCTCTCTTCCTATCCTGTTTCTCATTTTCTCCCTTGCCTTCAATGACCTTCTGTCTCTTGCCCCATAGAGGGATTCCCCATCAGGAAAAACAGGGCTCTGCCTCAGCAGGGCCATCCTTTCCCGTCACTCCTCCACCCACATGCAGACACTTGTGCAGCAACACTGTTCCTAAGAGGTCACTGCCAGGACAGTGAGTCAGAAGCATAAAGAGACTCATTCCATCAAGGGCGTCTAGGCAGACACTGGACACAGCATATTCAAGTGGCAACTTGCCTGCGGGAACAGAAAGGATAGAGGAAACTGGAGAATAAATGAAGAAAGAAGAGGAAAGTAAAAGTCAGGTCAAAGTAAAGCAAATCTTTCTTCTCTCCAGTCTCCTGTTTATCTATGTCCCTGATTCTTGGGTTTGTGATATTCTAGGAGGATGAAGCAGAGAAAAACCCTTAGGGTATGAAATCTTGAAATCAAGGCACACCGAGCTTTTTTTTTTGAGACAGAGTCTCACTTTTTCTCCCTGGGTAGGGTGCTGAGGCAGCTCATAGCAGCCTCAAACTCTTGGGGCTCAAGTGATCCCCTTGGTTCAGGCTCCCCAGTAGCTAGGACTATAGGTGCCTGCCACAACGCCCAGCTATTTTGAAAGATGAGGTCTCACTCTTGCTCATGCAGGTCTCGAACTCCTGAGCTCAAGCAATCTACCTGCCTCAGCCTCCCAAAGTGCACTAGGATTACAGGCGTGACACTATGTGACTTTATAGCCATTTTATCAGATTCCTCTCTGCCCCAAAGCATGTCTAACTATATTATTTCATGATATATCTGAATTTAGAAGAAATAGGCTGGGGATAGACGTCATTTGTATCCTGTATTTATCCAACCCCATGGATCTTCCCCTCCTTGAGAAAATTCAGTACTTTCCCTTCTGTAATTAGTCTTTCATCAACTTTATTGTTCTTCACAGCAAGAAAAAGAGATGTTCAATGAGAACACCACTGCCTCCTATTCCATTCATTCCACATCTACTGAGCATCTAATGTGAGCACTATTCTACTTTCTGGACTGAGTTTAGACAAATATCTCACTCTCTCTCTCTTCCTTTTTCTCTCACTCTCCTGACCCATCCTCTATCTGCGTCCCTGTGCCAGACTCTGACGATAGGACCAACATCTACTTACCTGGCATAGCATAAGTAACCAGCATTGACTGACTGAATCTCTAAAAGGATCCAGAGAAAGAGGAGGGAGGGGCTCCCCACCAAACAAAAGTAAGGAGAAAATAAAGGCAAAGAAGCAGCAAAGGAAAAAAAGCAAATGATAGGAGGAAAGCAGAGGTGCAGGTAGCAAAAGATGGGAGGAAAGAGAAAAAGGAAGGGAAGTGCCCAGAAAAAGATCACTTTCCTCATCCAGCACATGATCTGTCCTGGACTCCAGCACCACACCACCTCCAGGAGCCCCACCAACAGATGCTACATTTTTCCAGGCTCAGGAACTGACTCACACGATTCTCCAGATGCAGTCACAAAATTGCTTTAATTGCGTCCACAGGAGAGAAGTGAAGTTGTGCAAAGCCCAGGAGTCTCATCTTATTGCTGCACAGGCTCAGGGTGGGAACCATGGAAAGACACAGACAAAGGATGCATTAAACTCTTCCAGTCCATACCCAGAGGCAAACTCAGCCCAGGGAGCAGACTGGCCACCAGGACCACAGTAGGCACTAGGGCAGCTCTTCACTTAGTCCTTTCCAGGCCAGGGAACGGGAGGGATGTAAGGATCGTCACCCTATCCTGCCATCTTGAATCCCAGGAACAAAATGCAGGTTGGGTGATCCATAGGACAAAGAAGATTTATATTTTCTAGAGAAAAATGACAAAGAATAGCCCATCCTTTCTTCTCAGGACTTTCTCTGCTGAATCCCTAAGAGGAGGAAAGCAACATGAAAAAGGAAAAGTAGAAAAGGAAGAGGACCAGGAGAAGGTGAAGAGAAAAAAGAGGATAAGTTGTTTCATTGTCCAGTTGCTAAGTGGATCTTCCTGTCATTACAACTTATAACAATGAACTTTTCCATAATGATAGTTAGGTAATTGCAGTTTGGGGTGATTTGGCCTGGTTTGGACAACTTACAGAACGTCAAATCAAAAGGATGAGAGCTTTTGTGACATTCCCCCCCCTTGAGCATACAGGGAACAACGGGGCTGTTACAGACAGCTTTGACTGTTTCGGGATCCTCGTGGATGAAAGTATACTCATTTATGCAGCTCTGGTTGTGCTCTTTCACCTTGTTTGCCATCAAGGCATTGCACTCCCTCGCTGTCAGGTCAAGCAGAAGATAGTCTTTGTTGCTCTGAGAGGGAGAGTCAGCTCTCAGCAGCTTGTTTCCACCAACCTCATCTTCACCAAGGATGGTCTCTTCTGGCCAGCCAGGTTGCACCTCTGCTTTGTTGCTAAGCACCAGGCTTTCCACTGTTTGAGTAGCCTCTGCCTTCTCAGTCACCTCAGCTTTGTCCTGTGAGTCACTGGACCAAAATTCGTTCAATGGCTGATCACTGTCCTCTAGGACCGCTGCAGCCATATGAAGCCCCAGGCCCAGGCCCACCCCCAGACCCAGCAACAGCAGCAGCAGCATGAAAAAGATCTGCATCAGATTCAGCTTCATTATACCTGGGAGAGAAGAGGAAAACAGATGAACACAACTTAGAGATGAAATTGGCTCCACCAAAGACCGTAGGCTCCCTAAACCCTATAGCACTGGTCTGTGGAGTCTCCTCTGCCTCCTCCACTTTATAACACCCTCTTCAGGGCAGTGATTCTTTTCTTTTCCTATCTCTCTTGTGTAATAAATAAAGTACAGCTCTTGAGCAAAGAGATGAGCAGGGCAAGCAGTTCCAAAGTGGCTTACATATGCAGAATCAGTAAGGGAAGTTCACAGCCCTTAAAAAAGAGAGAGAACTTCCCCTGTTGTTCTCTGGGGCACCAAAATACCTCTATGACTTACCTACCAACCTAAGTAGCTTCAAAGATTCTTGAGTCCTACTGTTCCCCAAGTTCTTCCCTCCCAGGATTTCACTTTCTGCTAGCAGTTCCCTACTGCTGGTCTGCAGAAATAAGTGGTTATCTCCTGGTGGTGCTCTTAAACACAGACTTACTTCCTAAACCCACACTCCCACTTTCCCTCCGCCCACCCAGCACTGAATAAATTTATTTAGCAAATTCTCCTTGTGCTCCCACAAATCCTTTGAAGTAAGGCTATTTGGGCACTGAGACAAATTCAAACACCCAACACAGGAAATGTCTCCAGCCTGGGAAACTGCAAGCAGCTTGGTTTCATCCATCAGTTCCACTTCTGAGTTACCCCCACTAATCCTCTGGTTTCCAGCAAGCAGCCTGACTTGGGCATGAATTTCAAATCTAGTCATTTTCCTCTGTTTTACACAAGTACTTCCTTCAACCCTTTCCTCTAATTTCTAGAATGTCAAAATCTTTGCCCTTTGTTTGGGTCATATATCTCCAATATGCTTATTTTGCTTTTCACATTTTATGCCTGTGTCATGATGCCCACACTTACCTATACATTTACCTGGCCCTTGACTCTCTAATCCTTCTTTCCATCTCCCAACCAATAACCACATTCTCAAAAGAATATCCAGATTTTGCAAATCAAGCAGGGCGGTGCCTCGGGCTCAGTGGGTAGGACAACAGCCCCATATACCAAGGGTGGCAGGTTTGAACCCAGCCTCGGCCAAACTGCAACAAAAAGTAACCAGGCCTTGTAGCGGGCAACTGTGGTCACAGCTACTTGGGAGGCTGAGGCAAGAGAATTGCCTAACCCCAGGAGTTGGAGGTTGCTGTGAGCTGTAATGCCATGCTACTCTATGGGCGATAAAGTGAGACTCTGTCTCAAAAAAATAATAATAATAATAATAAAAATAATAATATTAGTAAATAAGGGCAAGTATGATGGCTCAGGCCTAAAATACTAGCATTTGGGGAGGCTGAACCAGGAAAATCACTTGAGGGCCAGGGGTTTGAGACCAACCTAAACACATAGAGAAACCCCATCTCTACAAAAAACAAAAACAACTACCTGGCATAGTGACACATGTTTATACTCCCAGGTATTCAGAAGACTGAGGTGGGAGGATTGCTTGAGCCCAGCTCCGGAGTTGGAGGCAGCAAAGAGCTATGATCTCTCACCACTGCATCCTAGCCTGGGCAATAGAGTAAGACCCTATCTCAAAAAAAAAAAAAAAAGGAATAGGTCAACATGAATCAAAGTTAACATCAGGAAGAGTGCCTTTTCTTCAATTATGAAATGAGGGTATACATATCTATTTGTGGTGTTGAAAATATGAATTTTTAAATGACATATGAAAATCAATCATGTATGTCAACAATAGCCAAAACTATGGCTAGTGGGCAATATCTGACTCACTGCCTCTTTTTTTGTTTTTTGGGCGTTTTTGTGACAGAGTCTCACTCTGTTGCTCCAGACTAGATTGCTGTGGCATCATAGTTCACAGTAACCTCAAACTCTTGGGCCCAAGTGATCCTCTTGCCTCAGCTTCCCAAGTAGCTGGGACTTCAGGCACCTGCCACAATGCCTAGTTAGTTTTTCTATTTTTAGTAGAGAAGAGGTCTTGCTCTTGTTCAGGTTGGTCTCAAACTCTGGAGCTCAAGTGATCCACCTGCCTTGGTCTCTCAGAGTGCTAAGATTATAGGCATGAACCACTGCACCCGGCCCCACTAGCAGCACTATTGATACAAGGTTTCACTCCTCAGAGCTAGCCAGGGACCTACCCATTTTCTAGGCCTGGGTGAGCTCAGAAATCAGTCTCATTGTGACATAATACTTTTTTAAACACTCTGGAGATTATTAATACACTATAAAAATTCTGTTGGCTCAGCACCTGTGGCTCAAGCGGCTAAGGCGCCAGCCACATACACCTGAGCTGGCAGGTTCGAATCCAACCCAGACCTGCCAAACAACAATGACGGCTGCAACCAAAAAATAGCTAGTCACTGTGGCGGGCGCCTGTAGTCCCAGCTACTTGGGAGGCAGAGGCAGGAGACTTGCTTGAGCCCAGGAGTTGGAGGTTGCTGTGAGCTGTGATGCCACAGCACTCTACCCAGGGGGATAGCTTGAGGCTCTGTCTCATAAAAAAAAAAAAAAAAAAAGAATTTGTTAAATTATATTTCACACATAGAATGGGTGTCCAAGTCTCAACACTTAATTGTGATTTTTCAGATGTCCACACTTCATTTACGTAGAAAAACCAGGTTCAGTCGCAGCATTAGTTCCTGGGAAGGACAGCGCGTATTCCACAATTTTAGTGCATTATTGTATGGAACATGGTTTGTTTCAAAATGATGAAATATTTCTAACCATTTGTTCTCTATTGTGATTTTTGCTGATGCCCAAGATTTAACCTTTTCCTTATCAATATATTTTTTTAATAATGATACCTTGTAAGTCCTAAGTGTCACTTTCAAGGCCTGCGCTAGACTTTTTGTCGCCACTATAAAATATAAATAATATGAGTATTGTCTGCTAAATTCATGAAATAAATAAATAAATTACTTACCTAAATTACTTGAATAGCTGATTTGTTGACATCACTTGTTGAACTAGCACTAGCAGTATGTGTGTATGGTCTGAGAGACAGTTACAAAATGTTTTTGTCATTGACAATGCCAAAAAATGCCATTGTTCATTAAGTCCAAACAATGGTGGTTGAAGTCTAACAACTGATCAACAATGCGAACTTTGATAAGCAGTTCTCCATAATCAGTTCTCAACAATTATTTGTTATTATTAAAGTTTAACAATATAAAATTAACAAAAATAATATAAAACTCCTATCCTGGTGAAATAGCCACATGGCAGCCGAAAACCATCTAGTCCCTTCCTGTTCTCCCACCATTCCCTAGCTTGTGCATTCTTTCCAAAAATCGGGACTTTTTAAAAACGCCATGGGACGCGGGACAAATTGTTAAAAATCGGGACTGTCCCACCAAAAGCGGGATGTCTGGTCACATTAATTCATGTGGCCCAGAAAAGCAAAGTCTCTCATTTCATATTTGTTTAGGCTTCTGTATTCCTTTATCTGGAGGGTTTAAACTAATTCCATCCCTTCTAGCACTTACAATCTCACATGTGCCCTCTTCTGGAATAGGCTCTGGGCGTAAAGGGAGGACATTGAATAACAGAGTGCTGGCAGTAAATAACAGGTTGGGCCTGGAGGGATTTAATAGTCTTGAAACCTGGAGACAGCAGATAAACTTGTTATTTATTCAAGACCTGTCATAACTCTAGAAAACAAAGCAAAAGAATCAGAACGTTTTAAACAAAAGGTCACAAAAATCAGTCTTGAAACCTGGAGATAGCAGGTAAACTTGCTGTTTACTCAAGCCTCATCATAACTCTGGAAAACAAAGCAAAAAGAATCAGTAGTTTTTTTTTGTTTGTTTTTTTGAGACAGAGTCTCACTATGTTACCTTCAGTAGAGTACTATAGCGTCACAGCTCACAGCAACCTCAAACTCTTGGGCTTAAGCTATTCTCTTGCCTGAGTCTCTCAAATAGCTGGGACTACAGGTGCCAGCCTCAACACCTGGCTATTTTTTGGTTGTAGTAGTCATTGTTGTTTTGGCTGGCCCAAGCTTGATTTGAACCCGCCAGCTCTGGTGTATGTGTCTAGCACCTGAGCTGCTGAGTTACAGGCACCAAGCCTATTTATTTATTTATTTATTTGAGACAGAGTTTCACCACCCTCAGTAGAGTGCCGTAACATCACGGCTCACAGCAACCTCAAACTCTTGGGCTTAAGTGATTCTCTTGCCTCAGTCTCCTAAGTAGCTGGGACTACAGGCGCCTGCCACAGTGCCTGGCTATTTTTGTTGTTGATGCAGTTGTCATTGTTGTTTAGCTGGCCAACGCTGGATTCAAATTGGCCAGCCTGGGTGTGTGTGGCCGGCGTCCTACCCACTGAGCTACAGGTGCCACCAATTAATCTGTTTTTAAAACATTTTCTAACTTGAGTATAAACTCAAGTACATGCAGTGTTTCTAAAGAGTAGGACTGTTTTGAGATTCTCTGTGGATTTTAGCAATCTTCTTTTTAAATCTTAAAATAAATTACAATAAACAATTAACAGTTTAGGGATTTTTTTCTCCTAGGCAAAAACTTTGTTAAAGCAACATAATATATACATAACTGGCTAGCAAAATCAAGAGTGGATGAGACCAAAGAAAAATTAAAAATTCCAATTTAAGCTCATAATTACAACCTCTAGGACAGCTTTGAATTCCTAACAGTACTATTAATAACAGATGAAAGATAGAGTTAGAAACAAGTTTTATGTGTACCTTTCCATGGACACTGAAATCAGTGGAAGAAACTGTACCTGAAGTTAGGATTAAAAGAAAACTAAAATATTTTCATAAACATTTGACTTTAAGTTTGTGTTTTTATATTCTATTTACTAATGTCATTTATTCTAATTTGTTGGCACTTTTTTTGTTGTTGTTCAGGGATTTTACCAATTAAGAAGCTTAAAAGTTGGGCGGCACCTGTAGCTCAAAGGAGTAGGGCACCAGCCCCATATGCCGGAGGTGGTAGGTTCAAACCTAGCCAGGGCCTGCCAAACAACAATGATGGCTGCAACCAAAAAATAGCCAGGCATTGTGGCAGGCACCTGTGGTCCTAGCTACTTGGGACGCAGAGGCAGGAGAATCACTTGAACCCAGGAGTTGGAGGTTGCTGTGAGCTGTGATGCTATGGCACTCTACCCAGAGGGACAGCTTGAGGCTCTATCTCAAAAAAAAAAAGAAGCATGAAGTTAAGCACATAAGTATTTTTGTTGATAACTCAGAAAATTTAGCTATTATCATTTGGCCAATAATATTAAATTTACCCTACTATTTAAAAAATCATACAAACACAGATCATTTTGATTTTGTTAGCAAACAAAGAGGGTCCAGCCACCTGTCACTGTCCAGCCAATATGCAGAGATGGAGTGTAGATCCAAACAAGCTTTATTTGTCAGAAGGCCAGTGATTTTGGTGAACAGGAGAG